TTCGTCCGTCGAATGTAAGGGATGTGCAAGAACAACCACAACCTTACAGTGTCTTTTTAGATAAATTGACTTAGATGATTGACCCATCTGAAGTCATTTTCATGGGTGATTTTAATGTCTGGACTGATGACGAGAGATACCAAAAATGTAGAACGTTTCAAGAAGTTCTATTTTGTAACGAGTTTCGTCAGCTTATCAATGAACCCGCCCATTAAAATGGCCGTACTCTCGATCAAATAATAACCCATGACACCAATGGATCTGTGGTGAGTGATGTCCACACACATCCGGGCCTGTCTGACCATTTTGCTCTTTGTGGTACTGTAGCTCTCGGAAGACCGCCTCTTCCAACTAAACTCCTCTCCACTCGCAGACTGACGGCCATCGACAAGGAGAAGTTCTGAAGTGATCTTCATAGCAAACTCTCAGATACTGACGTCAAGGCTGTGGATCTTGACGTGTGTATCCTCTGCTACAAAGCTGCTCTGCATGGGCCGTTGGACAAATATGCTCCTGTGAGAACACGCAGGGCTGCCATCAGAGAAAACACCAAAAGGTATGATCGCACAATAATGCCAAATATCTGCGTAGACGCCTGGAGCGGAAGTGGCGTAGGTCAAAGCTTGAGAGGAAACGGGCACCGTATCATTGGCAACATATTTTTTTTCAAGAAACTGATCTAAGATGCCAAGAAACAGTATTACTGGGAGTCTGTGGCCGAGTGCATAGGAGACCAGAAGGCACTTTTCCACGTGGTTAAAACTTTACTTCACAGGAAACAGACTCCCGGTCTTCTTACTGGGTTTTCTGACCATGTGCTTGCAATTAATTTTCATGAAAAGAATGTTAACATTTGTAGAAGCACTGCAGACCAGGTAGACCCAGTTAAAGTTAACTTCCAAGCGCCACCGTGTGATCTTTGTACTGACTCCTTTGAGCTGGCGTCTGTTGATGAAGTTAAGATGAAGTAATTTGGGCTCCAACGAAGCATTGTGATCTTGATCCGTTACCAACGGTCTTACTGAAAGATTACATTAATATTTTTGCTCTGTTTGTGACAGATCTGGTAAATAAACCAATTGTAATGCGCCATTTTCTTGACAGTCTTCAAGTTTACCATTTTAGGCCATTGTTGAAAAATTCAGTCTAAATAAGAACAAAATAAAAATTTCCTCCCGGTAGCTAACTTAAAATTTCTTGGAAAAATTATAGAGAAGATTTCCCGTATTTTAATACTTACAGGTATTTCCACCAGGCCATTTTATGTAGAGACTGTTTTGCTTTGTGTTTGAAATGACATAGCACCATGGGTGATGGAAATATTTGGACACTTCTGTTATTAGATCTCAGTGCATTATTCGACACTGCCGATTATGTCATTATACTAAGGAGACTGGAATCTAAAGGCATTGGCTTTACAATATTGTAAATCATATATCCATAACAGAACTCTTAACTCTTTCATACTCAGTGCCTCAAGGCTCGGTGCTTGGGCCTCAATGGTTTTTTATTTAGGTAAATCCAATTCGGAATATTGTTCAACGTTTCAGCCTCCAGTACCAGATTATGATTATGCCGACGATTTACAACTTACATCAGCCAATTAAACCCGTGCAGCACGTTATTGATAATCACCTGGCCAATATTGAGGCATACATGGGCCAGATTTTTCAGTGGATGGAAGCAAATATACTGAAACTAAATGTAAAACGGAATTCATTTTGTTGGGATCACAGGAACAGGTAGTTTAAGTAACAGTTTGTCATATCACTGTCGGAGGCTTAAATTAAATACTGTTTCCCGTTCAGCAAATTCATAACCTTGGTGTAATAATGGACTCTGGGATGACTTTTCAACCACACATATCATATGTATTACAATGCACAGCACACCATCTCCGAAAGCGCAACAAAATTAGGCAATGTCTGCCAAAAAAGGCTACTGAGCAACCAATTAATGCTTTTATTACCTCCTGGTTGGAGCTATGCGATTCTATTCTCAAGGTTGGTATACATCAACAGCACTTGAACAAACTTTAGCAGAGACAAAACGATGCAGCACGACTCATAGCTTAGACTATAGACGTTATGCTTATATAACACCTATTCTTCAACATTTCCACTGGCTCCCTATAAAATTGAAAAAATATCGTCCATTACACCAAATTTCCCCTATTTGTTCACACTGCTGGCTCCGTACCCATCTAATTGCCCTGGACTTCGATCGGCTAATCAATATCTTTTGGCTGCACTGAGCAGTGTCGTAGCCGGGGGGGGTTGGTGGCAAGTGCCCTCCCACGAAGTCCCAGTGTCCCACAGGTGCCCTCCACTGATAAAAAACCCCGGATAAATAGATATTTAACAAGGCTAACAAAAACTGGCCCCTCAAAACACACCACGGAAAGCTGGTGCCCCCTTTGTGCCCCCACTAGTAAAATCCTAGCTATGGCACTGGGACTGAGATCTCGTGGGTCCTGGGGAAATAGATCACTCCGCGTAGCTGCCCCACGTCTGTGAAATAACCTCCTTATTAATATCCAGTCGTGCACGTTACTTAATGCCTTCAAAAGGTCACTCAAAACACATCTCTGTTATAATGCTTATGCTACTGTGTCTCTTTTTAGATGGATGTGTGCACTTTATAAATATCCATTATTATTACATCGACAGTGTTGATCAGGCAAGTCAAGATAATGTCAACACTGGATCGTACGATACAGTTGAATCGTCCCAATTTGAACCGGAGTAAGGTCCCGCTGAAATTCAGGCAGATGGCCGCAGTTATTCATTTGCCGAGAATTACCGACGAGGAAACCGACAGCCTATTACAGCTGCTAGGTCAAGAAACTCTGGGATAACCATAGCCGTATTATCACATTGTGACGGAAAGTGTATAGGGCTAGAGCTAGTCTAATTTTATTAATGAGTTGAAGTGCACGTACCTGATTGGCTAGTGACTTGGTAACGTGTGCTGGCTAGGCATAGCGTAGCGCTGTGTGCACATGGTCGTGCTACCGCAGTGAGTGCTGCGATCGCATTATAGGTGGTTGCGTGTTGGACTTCGCAGAGTGAAGTTGGTGAGTTGGCACGGAGCTAAGGCATTGTCAGCGCTGTGCGAAGCGTTGCGTGGTGCTGATGCGTTGCAAATACATGTACGTGGTTGTATAGACTGTACGTGGCTGACTAGTGTGTGTGTAGCTGACGCGTTGCAAGTACAAAGCTGTGAGAGCTGTACGTTGCTGACGCTGGCTTGCATGCACGTTAGGTGAAGCTCGTACGAAGTTGTACAAGTTGTACGTTGCTGACGCGGTGTGCATTGTTGATGCAGTGCATGTAGTGTGCACAGTTTACACAGAGGTGCGTTGCTTATGCAGTGGTGAATTGCTGACGTAGTGTGACTTTGTTGATACGCTGTGTGTGGTTGATGCACAGTGAATGGCTGATGCGCATGGTGCATAGTTGATGCATTGGCGTATTGCTGCTGCGGCCCTACGCTAAATTAGTTCTCAATCCAATTAAGTAAATATACAGG